CATTTACTTGGGTTGAAAGTCTCACCTGCAACCCTTTCTAACTTGTTACTAATAATTTATGAATTATCGTTATAATCATTTATGTGAATATTAAATATGTAAATTCAGTTTAAATGTCACTATAAAATTTAATTTGACTAGCTAAAAATACACATAATTTAAAAATCACATTGCATACAAGTACTATTAATTTTTAATTTGTAATTCTATATGGCATTTATATTAATATTTTATTAATTGAGTGTTAATTTAAAGTTAAAAATTTTTTGTCCTGTCTGTGCAGTGAACGCTTCTTACCACTAGACCAATACATTTTCTTTGTTACATATATGCATCAATAAATATTCATACCATTAACATATTAAATGATTCCATCAGGTTTGATTTCTTCCTGCAACATTTCCCTATACAAATCAATCACTTCCTTATAACGCCCATTTTTACCATACACACCAAGCATCGAAGTCCATAACACAAGGTTTCTAGTTGTTTCATTTTGAATCTCCATTCCATCCAACTTGAAAACCAGCCTAGCCTTCTCTACCATTCCACATTTTCCATACATCTGAACCAAGACACTCTGCATAAACACATCACTCTCTATATCAGGCATAGTACGGAGCAAAAGACTATGCAGATGTCTACCCATTTCAACAGACGATAATCCAGTGCAAGCACATAAAGTGATCATACTTCAATTTCAACACAGGCATCTTCCTAACCAATTGGACTCCCTTAATCCATAGCCCAGCCTGAGAATAACCAGACAAAAGTGCATTTGCACAGACAGTATTCTTGTCAGGAATTTCATCAAACACGAGAGCTGCATCTTTCACATTAATGGATTTAGAGTAATAATGAATAAGAGCAGTAGCGACAAAGACACTAGAAAAGAAACCAGATTTGGTCACGTGGGCATGTATCCGTTTTCCAAAATTGAAGTGTTGGAGTTTAGATGAAGCGGTCAAAGTGGTACACAAAGCGTATGTATCTAAGGAAACAGCATTGGTGTGCATAAAGGAGAAGGATGCAAGAGCATGAAAGGGGAAACCTTGACGACAAAAATGAGAAATGATGAGATTGAAGTGTAATGGGTTGGTTGAGTTGATGCATTTGAGGAAAGTGGTAGTTAATGATATGAATATTTATTGATGCATATATGTAACAAAGAAAATGCATTGGTCTAGTGGTAAGAAGCTATCACTGCAGACCGTATGTCCATGGGCAAAAAAATTTTAACATTAAAATAATAACAAAAATATAAGCCACATCAGCCTTTTAGGTGATGTGGCATCCTCAAGGTAAAAATTGAAACTTTTAAAATTTGTCAAGATAACAATTGGAACTTTTTTTTTTGGTAGGCGGTTTTTCAAATACACCCCATATGTCAGGGGTGAAAATAGGTATTAACCCTATTTTTTAATTATTATATTTCAATATTATTATATAAATACATTTTATTTAATTATATTAATGATTAAATTAAGTAACAAGTTTAATTAGAACAACAAAATTTCTCATTAAATTTAAAATAATCATTAATATTTTAATGACCATGGCTAAGCCAAATGCAACTACACAACTTAATTTAAAATAGTCCCTGATGTATTAAGAGTATTCTTGAAACATCGGCTTAAACATATTCAGGAACGGCCCAAATTAATTGGTACTTTGAAAATTATAAATGATACTAAGTTAAATACTTTAACCTATTAAATAAGGTGATTACTCAATTATATACCGAAATTTTAATGTCCTTTTTGAATTGGAAAGCAAAAGGAGAAAATTAATTAAAGGAGAAAGGTAGAAATATAGTAGCACCTTCCATTTGCAAATCATATATTAATTGCAATTTATCATTTTTTTCTTAAATGTATCTGTTTATAATTTTATTATATTAACATAATTAGAGAATACTATTACATTTTTTTAAGTATATTTTAATCATTTTTTTTCATTTATTTTTTCTTATAATGTTAAAATCAGTATTCTCATATTTTTATCTTTTAAAACTAAAATATTTATGACATTTTAGTTCATAGTCAATATTTTTATATACTTTATTTTGTTGTATTTTAAATTTATCAATAATATATCATGACTATGTAATTTTAAATCCTTAAAATATCAAAGATAGAAGAATAAGAAATAAAATAATATTTTAGACATGTTGAAAAAATATACCTCCTCCATCTTATATTATAAGCTAATTTTAATTTTAGATTCATTGAATAATTAATATATTTAATCTATATATAAATTAGATACACTAATTATTTAATGAATCTAAAAATTAAAATTTATTTATAATATGAGACGAGGAGTGTCTAATAAGGCATTAAATCTTAATTTTAAATTTGAATCATAAAATATTTAATATAATCCTGACTTAAAATTAAAATTAAATAAAAAAACTTAAATCAATTGGAAAAGTCAAATTTAATCTAATTCTATTTCAAATTTAAAACAAAAATATAACATTCAAAATAAAAATGATAATACTATATTATATAGTTTCTTTCAAAACTTTAATTTTAATTTATATGATGATAAAAACCTTTATGGTCTTGATTTGAGAATAAATGACAAAGACATTTTGAAATATAACATCTTGTCTTGTATACGGTGCACAATTTTTTTTCTATAAATATAACTATTTAATATTTTAGTGGGTGCAACATTTAATATTTTATCAAAATAAATTTAAATTTTTATTAAAACTATATAGTGGATGATGCACACTCATTTCTTTATCATAATAATCATTTAATATTTTTGTGAACTCAACATTTGTAGGAAGAAGTTTAAATTTTAATTAGAACTAAATAGAGGTAAATCCTCCCAATTTGTTATGTGTGCAATATTCTTTTATAAGAATGAATAATGAAATATATCCATTTATAAGATATATTGGTATCGATGTGCATGTAATTGGTGATGTTCTTTGTTATTAAAATATGTGGTTTTAAAAGTCATATTTAATTAATGAGAATGATGAAAATCAATTGTGCGTGATTTAACAAATATTTTAAATTTATTTTTTATTTAAAATTAATGATATAGTGATTTTTTTTTCTGTTTCTCATATTTCTATTTTTAATTAGATTGAAATTGATTTTTATTTAATTATTTAAATGATTGAAAGTTTTGCGAAATTTATTTAGAGTGTAGATAATTAATTTGAATTTTAGATCATTTTAATTGATTAAATAAATTGAAAAATCAATAATGGAAAGAGTTGGTATTAAAATAGAATAATGAGATAATTAGGGTAATTAGGAGCAAGAGTCCATAAGTTGAAGGGAAAAATTAGAATAACTAAAAGATTAAATTAAATTTTTTAATTAAAACTGAATTAGAAGACTTGAAAGTGTTTGTATGTGAAAAACTATGAGAAGAGATACAGGAAGAACTAGGGCTTGGGAAGAGAAATCCACCTTTTGAGAGCTTGTTTGTTGGAAATTAAAGTAAGGAGAATTATTCTATTATGAGTGTATATTGTATGAATAATGAATGGTAGAGAAGGATTTTCGCCTTCTTCTAGATTTTGTGTCAATTTTCTCCATTGAGTTTATGTGCTTTTGAATGAAGCTATGTGAAACATATTTCAATTGTTCTGATAAGTATGAATTTGTATATTGATTTTTATGTTAAAATTTGTGTGCCTCCTTGTGTATAAATTGTTTGAGTTGCTATTCATTTTTGTGGAATTTGAAATGATAAATATGTTGATTATAGTAATTCAGTTTGATAATTTTGTTGTGAATTCAGTAATTAGTTGATATAACAAACATGGAATGATATATTTGTGATTAGTTGAAAAGGAAGAAGATGAACAAAGAACAAAGAAAAAGAGAAAGAAAGAAGAAGTGGAAGATGAAGTATCGAGGAAAAGAATATGGAGAAGTTTGATAAAAGAAGGAAAGAAACACTAGTACAAAATGAAGAGGGAGTTAAGAAAAAATAATTGCAATTAAATTATGTGAGATCATCAATTAAATCAAACCTAGCAAGCAATAGCATGATACAATAACAATATAGTTGGAACTTAAGAAAATGACATTGTTAATTACAAAAAGTAATTTTTAGACTAAAATTGTCTTCATTTTGGTGAGATGACATATTTAGGAGCAGTTTGTTTTGCTTTTTATTTTTAAATGATTTCAATTTGGTGAGATGACAGATTTAGGAGCAGTTTGTTTTGCTTTTTTTTTTTAAATAATTTTTATAATGTAATATAATTTTGTGTAAAAAATTTACAAACAAATTTTTCATAAAAACTTCAAATGAAAAAACTTTTTTTAAATATCAAAATTTCAAAAAATCACTTAATTTTGAAATTATTTCAAATAAATTTTCATAAAAAATATTTTTGAAATATAATTTTTTGAAAAAGTTATAATTTTGATTATGTTTTAGTCTTCAATAATGTATGCTTATATTATTGAATGATAACATTAGTGTTTCAATTTTTTAAAAAAAAAACGAATATAAAAAACTTCTAATATTTTAAAAAACAGTTTTGTAAAATCTATTTTCAAAAATCTAAAGAAAAAATCCTTTTTTTTTAAAACTGAAGAAACAAACATGCATTTAAATAAAGAACAAAAGAGTTTTCTACATCATATTATAGATTATAGATATCAGGCATTAAATGGAGTAATCAATCTCAATGAATAAAGATTCAACTTAGATTACACAAACAACAAATTACATTTAAACTATTAATTTGAGATGAGACGGAAATAGTTTTTTTTTTAAATTGTGCCTATATATGACAGATTGCAGTCATTCCTTGAAAGTTGACTTTTTTTAACAGGGTCCTTGTAAGTAGACTTATATCAACTGCACCAAATCTATTTCTGTAATTTACACAGGAGTAATGATTAATGAGAAGTTTCTGTCTTAATCCCGACATCACTGGTTAATCTGCTCTACTTTGAACTGTGACTCTATGTTAAAAATTTCAGACTCTCAATTTATCAATAAGACTATGGTAATTAGTGAAGAAGATTAGGTTTCTGCAACTGGTAGAAATGAGGAGCAGCCTCCAATAACCATGAGGGATCTATTGTCATCACATTACGCATATATTTCCGATCAGTTGATACTAGAGAATTGAATATAACCCACTTTGGATTTACTCTGCAAAAGAACATAATTTTTAATTGACAGTGAATAAACCAATATACCACACATAATAGATAGAGTTTACAAAAACTCGGTTTTCTTACTACCTGAAAAGCACTGATGATGGATGAATATATACTTCTTCTGATCCTCTTAGCGTCTTGTACATCCCATCAGGACTGTATGGCTTTTAAAAAAGCACAGAAATAGATAAATATAAGTGAAGTTAAATTATTTTGTTTGCCACAATATTAATACGAAAAAGTTAATATACAATTATGAATCGAAAAGAAAATACGGCATCCTGATATCTCAGGAAGAACTCACCTCAAGACGACATGCATTAGCAAAAAAGCCAGCAGTAACAGCTTTCTTAACAACCTGCATATCACTGTCGCACGATTTTAAGACTAAGCCAATCCTCTGTGCAACTCTTCTGAGTTGTTCTCTAACTTCAACAACCTTTTTCTGTGCAATTTAGACACCCATGTCAACATGAATTGGTGAAAACTGAACTAAAAAGGACAAATGGAAATGGCTCCAATGTGCATAATCGCTGAATAGATACTCACCATGGCATGGTAGTTCACAAAATGCTTGTGACACCACTGTGATGATCTCCGAGACAGATGAAAACCTTTGTAGACATTTAGAAAAGTTACATGGTCGCCCTGTATAAATTATTAAAAGATCAAACTTAATTATAGATGTGGAAAAAAAAAACATTTCATACAGCATATTGCTGTAGAAAAACACTTGTACTGCATAGTAAAAAAGCTGATGATTGAGAACCCATTAAATGTTTGACAAGTAAATAATGCAGAGGAAGTTACATGTATAAAAAGGCGAAAATGAGTAACATTGTGTGGGAGATAGGAGAATGAAAACAGAAAAATTAACCAAGAGTACCTCGGCAGCAGCAAATCTCAATTTTGCTTCATCTGATTCCTTTTGTATCCCTCTCCCTGAGATCCAGATGGACTGTATGCATAGATAAATTGAAACTGAGATCAACTGCTCTATTACTACATTTATGTTCAGCTATGTTTCTTTGATGCTGTCCAGAATCCAGATAGATTTCATTTTACATTCCAATTCTCAGCATGAAAACTGAAAATTTCTTTCAAAACAAAAATTATTCATGACTAGAGCAAAAAACTTTACTTGGACGGAAAGAGCCGCAGCAATTGTGAGTATCTCCTCTGAGCATCCGAGTTGACTAGAAGCTATTATCATTTTTGAGATCATAGGCTCCTGGCAAAAATCACATTACATTAAGCAGACATTTGTAAAGTTGTAAGAAATGCAAGGATCTGAAGTGTCTTACGAAGAAAAAATGATTAAATGGCAGCCAAAATAATATTTAATTAAAGAGTGCAGATCCACCATAAGACTCTATAACTGGATTCTTGAATTATCTTTTAAAGGCAAAGTTCCTAATTAAACTCAGAAATGAGTCTGAAGTCATAAATTCTCAGTTCTTTACTCTTTGTTCTGTTATTCTTTTGTGCTATCTGTTATGTATTGTCTGGGGTACTTAGAATAACCTAGTCCCCACAGTGAACAAAACAATTCTTTACTTTTCTACAAATAAAAACAAAGTGTTCCACAAAAGAACGAAAACATGATTTTAGTGGTATTCGTAACATACAAGTGGAATTTCTGCAATTTGAAATCCAGTTGGTGAAGTAAGCTTGGCATCATCATCCAAGATCGCGAGTGAGTAGAGAACTTCCAGTGCTCGGATCATTGCTTCAGGTGATGGAGATGCTGGCCAGTCAAATCCCAATATATTATCGATTCCCAAAGCCTTTAACTGTAAACATCAAAAAAGGGTTCAAATCAAACCCCGTCTTTATCTATCTCCAGTTAATCTTGACAATTTTAGTCACAGATTATCATAAGGGGAGCAGGTGCACTTCTAACTACACTTTTTGAAATTTGAATAAAATCATGATAAATCTTCTATCATTGATGTAACTAATTGATCAGTAGTCATCATTTGCCTTGATCATAAAAATACTGAAGAAAAATAAATAACCAGTGATGGCAGAGCTTCCATAAGAAAAAAACTGGTCTTAGACAAACAGATGAATTGAAAATATTCCATAATAATAACAGACCTGGATTACACAGGAGACAAGATTAGATCTCTGTATCTCTGGAACTCCCTCAATAGACATGTGGCTAAGAAAATATTCTTCTGTGTATAGCCTGGTTACAATCATGTGAACAATGAATGGTAAGAAGATAATTGCTGCAGTTAACATCATGACCAAATACCAATTGCAATTTCAATATTAGTTCCTATCACAGTCTCAGTTTATAAACATCCATATACAGAGGGTAAGGCTTCCGAGTGGACTGGATAAAATATCCTCTAAAAAATGTTCCCAAACCATCTGAAAGAAATTATCTACATTCATTCAGACACCTGTAACACTTTCCTGGGCGAACTCGTCCAGCCCTACCAGCTCTCTGTCTAGCAGAAGCCCTAGAAATTGGTGCCACAACCAGATTTTCAATATCAGAGACCTGTACAAAAGAAGGAAGAAAATTACACTAGTGTTATCAAGATAACTAAGAAAGGAAGAAAACGAGTTGAGAAGGGAAGACTTCTGAAAGATAATGTTACTAGCATGACATCTAAAATAAATCAAAATTTAGTGGATAAGTTCATATAAACTGCATATTAGCCTATTAGAGTATAAAAACAAATGTTAATTTAGAATTCAAAAGTGTGCTATAATTAGGAAACTTTCATCCAAATACATTGAAATGTTTAAGGTTTTAAAAACTTCATGAATCAACACTAGATTGTTTACAATTATCATATGGAAAATTTACAAAGAAAGTACAAGCACAGAAGTGAAAAGTGAGTACAACCTTAATGCAATAGAAGTGTTAGATGAAACTTGCATATGACCAAATGAAACTGAATGCAAGCATAAATAGAAGGTTGGAGTATTGATCCAGAAGACATGTGCTTTTGTAACTTCAAATATGAACAAAAATGACATTTATAAACAACAGGACCAAATCATTACTGGCCAATTACTATATATATTTTCATAGAAACAACAGAACGGAAATACCGGATTGTAGAATCGCTGTTTTGAGAATCCACTGTCAACAACATAGACAATGCCCTGCACAATTAGAAAAATGAGTATAAAAGGAGCACTTTGTTTTCTTTAATTAAGGTCAGACATGTTGTAGAAGAGATGGAAGTTACCTCCAATGTGAGTGATGTCTCTGCTATATTAGTAGAAATTACTACTTTCCTCTTTCCTCTAGGAGTTGGAGAAAACACTAACTCCTAAGAGAGTAAAAAAATGTATCAATACACGCAGAAATTTAATTAAATAATACTGACACAAAGTTTGAAACTAAATCCACAGATGTATTTCTGACCTGATCAGCACGTGGGAGTCCTGAATAGAGAGGCAAAACAACCAACCCTGGAACAAAAGAAATTCAAAGTATTGCCAGGTTATCTGATTGGTTAGGCATAATTATATTGTGCATATATGAAAATTTTTTTCATTGTGCTCGGTTTAGAAAAAAAATATATATATTTATAATATATATATAATATATAGATATTTATATATATATATATATATATATATATATATAATATATATATATCATATATATATATATATATATATATATATATATATATATATTATTAATAATATACTATTATAATAACTATATATATTTGTTGTATTATA